TTGAACACCCTTCAAAGTTTCCTAAGGGATGTAAAAAGTTCAGTGGCTTCTCCATAAGGCAGCCTTGTGGCCCAGGCGAATTTATGATTGCTGTGCCATGTAAAGAACCAGTTGCAGGAGGAAAAGCTGGGGTTATGGTGGATTTTATCGGCACCAGGAGACTTACATAAATTTGAACTGAATTCTCACCATGAATCTTCGTGACGTCGAATCACAAAGTTTAAAAAGCTATAAAGAGCAGCTCGATTCTGTATGATTTTGCTTGACTGGGTCTCAATACTAGCTCCATCGGTCCAGGATGATCTGAATTATACTTTTTAAAAACTGAGAGATATGAGGCTTGTTCACTATCAGTGTTTCTTTCTGTGGCGTTCTTCTAAACAATTGCATGGTATTCACTTAAGGCAAGAAAGACTTCGAGAATATCTCAATATGGCGTTAAATCCACACATTGCTGTTATCAAATGTGTCAAAGATTTGTGTTGTGAACTTGCTGTCAAACATCACAGCAAATATAGCACTGCTACAGTCTCAGTAGACATCTGCTGTCATATAACTATTATCAGACGTCTGATTTTGTATGTTATGTTATATAACTGTTATCAGACGTCTGATGTTATATGTTATGTAATATAACTGTCATCAGACGTCTGATAACAGTTATATGATGTCAGACGTCTGTTAACAGTGACAAAAATCAGACGTCTGATAACAGTTATATGACATCAGCCGTCTGATGTCACTGATTTAACTGTTATATAACAGTTATGTAACATATATAACAGTTTTATAACAGTTATATAACTGTTATATTTGTTATATAACTGTTATATTAGTATGTTATATGACTGTTATATAACATATTATATAACAGTTACATATAACAGGTTATATAACTGTTATACAACAGGTATATAGTTGTTATATAACAATGTTATATAACAGGTTATATAACAGTTATATATAACTGTTATATAACAGGTTATATGATGTCAGACGTCTGATAACAGTTATATGACAGCAGATGTCTGCTGTCATATATGTTATATAACTGTTATATAACATAGGTATAGACAACCCATAACATAGGTATATGACAATATAACTGTTATATAACATGTTATATAACAGGTTATATAACAGTTATATATAACTGTTATATAACAGGTTATATGATGTCAGACGTCTGATAACAGTTTATCTAGAACTGTCATATAACTGTTATATAACATGTTATATGACTGTTATATAACAGGTTATATGATGTCAGACGTCTGATAACAGTTATATAACTGTTATATAACATAGGTATATGACAATGTAACTGTTATATAACTGTCATCTAACTGTTATATAACAGTCATATATAACTGTTTTGTAACTTATATATCATGTTATATACCAGTTATATATAACTGTTATATAAGAGGTTATATGATGTCAGACGTCTGGTAACAGTTATATAACATGTTATATAACACAGTTATATTCTGTTATATAACATAGGTATATGACAATATAACCGTTATATAACTGTTATTATATAAATATGTTATATAACAGTTGTATGACTGTTATATGACGACATAACTGTTATAAAACATGTTATATAACAGTTTTTATAGAACTGTCATATAACTGTTATATAACAACAGTTATATATTACTGTTATATAACAGACGTCTGATAACAGTCATATAACTGTTATATAACATAGGTATATACATATTTATCTAACTGTTATTATATAAATGTTATATAACTATGTTATATAACAGTTATATGACAATATAACTGTTATATAACATGTTATATAAATGTTATATAACAATTTATCTAGAACTGTCTTATAACTGTTATATAACATGTTATATGACTGTTATATAACAGGTTATATGATGTCAGACGTCTGGTAACAGTTATATAACATAGGTATATGACAATATAACCGTTATATAACTGTTATTATATAAATATAACAGTTGTATGACTGTTATATGACAACATAACTGTTATATAACAGGTTATATGATGTCAGACGTCTGGTAACAGTTATATAACATGTTATATAACAGTTATATTCTGTTATATATCACAGGTATATGACAATATAACCGTTATATAACTGTTATTATATAAATATGACTGTTATATGACAACATAACTGTTATATAACATGTTATATAACAGTCTATATAGAACTGTCACATAACATGTTATATGACTGTTATATAACAGGTTATATGATGTCAGACGTCTGATAACAGTTATATAACTGTTATATAACAGTTATATTCTGTTATATAACATCGGTATATGACAATATAACTGTTATATAACCGTTATTATATATGTTATATAACAGTTTTATGACTGTTATATGACAATATAACTGTTATATAACATGTTATATAACTGTTATAATATAACTGTCATATAACTGCTATATAACATAGGTATATGACAACCTATAACATAGGTATAGGACAATATATATAACATGTTATATAACTTTTATATATTACTCTTATATAACAGGTTATATATTGTCAGACGTCTGATAACAGTTATATAATTGTTATATAACATGTTATATAACAGCTATATTCTGTTATATAACATAGGTATATGACAATATAACTATTATATAACTGTTATTATATAAATATGTTATATAACATAGTAATATAACAGTCAGTTGTATAACTGTTATATGACAATATAACTGACTGTTATATAACATGTTATATGACAACCTATAACTGTTATATAACATGTTATATAACAGTTGTATAACTGTCATATAACTGTTATATAACTGTCATATATAACTGTTTTGTAACTGTTATATAACAGTTACAACAGTTCTGTTATATAACATGTTATATATAAACTGTTATATAACATGTTATATGACTGTTATAGAACAGTTATATTACATATATGACAGCAGACATCTGCTGTCATATAACTGTTATCAGATGTCTGACATATAACTTATCAGACGTCTGCTGTCATATAACTGTCATCAGACGTCTGATTTTATATGTTATGTTATATAACTGTTATCAGACGTCTGATGTTAGATATCCTTTTCTCCTCAACTCGGCACTTTTATTTTTGATAATTGTAAAGATGACAATAGAGTGTGAGAGAGATCAATATATTGTTGAAAACAAGAGAAAACCAAAGGTTACGGAGTGAGGGCGACAACGATGGAAGATGAAAACGCTGTTACTCCAACGCTGTGCTTCGCACAAGTTTGACTTGATAGATGTTCCAAACACGCGTGATCAGATTCTAAGTGACCAGAGAAGATCCGGATGCGAGTGATCAAATTGCTTTCTGTGAATTCCATTCATCCTTATAAGTGTAAGTCCAAACGAATGCCGGCTACATACCTGTGATGCATGCATAATAATAACCTGAAGATGAAAACTGCAGGCTATTCTTGTCGCCCGCAAAAAAAGTGGTTAATAACTCCCCGTTGCATGTCGTTGAAGGTCTCTGTAAGTGTCTCATGTTTTATTTTTGCGGTAGTTTGGCTGAGCAATTAAATTCCCAAAAAGTGCAATTCACTTCAATCAAAGTGTAAAAATGAAACATCTTATCTTTCCAAGGGTGAAAAACGGCATACTGTCTCTCACAAACGAGAGAGCAAAAAGACCAGCCATTCCTGTCCGCCATGCAGAATTTCCTTGAGTAGCCTGACCTTTTGTTTCTTCCGTGTGCAGTCTTGTTTGTTCCATCAGGAGGTGTCTCAAAAATATTAATGAAGTGTTTTGATGTGTCAGGGGGTGCATGTATAATATTGTAATGCTTTAACTCAAATTAATTCCGCCCTTCAGAACTCAACTTGCTTCTACGTGGCTTTCCCTTGTGACAAGAATCACTTACACACTCTTTTAAAATAATTTTAGAAAATCTCTCAGAAAAGTAAGTAACAGGTATTTTATAGGGTTACCTTGCACTACTTTGAAGAAAATGGGAATGCAAAAGTTTTTTAGGCCGCTTTCTTCCCGTTTTTGAGTCTTTTCTAGACCAAAACAAAAAGGTAATGACCCCTCCCCCCAAGGGCACAATGTGCCTCCCCCTGTGCATATTTGAGTGGGGTCCATGCTTTTACCCCAAAGTGCACAATTCAGCTATTTTTTTACACCATATGGCTGGACTAAATTTAAATGCTCTCTCTATTGAGAATCACCACTTAAACAAAAGATCTTATTTAACAGCCATTAGCACACCAGAGCTGGAACAATGGCAATTGTATTATTTCACTGTACATTTCAAGGACCAACATTCCGCTTACATGGGAGGCTAATGTTAAAAACAAGGGCATCCAACCCCAGTTTCCTCCTAATACATTGAATTTACTTTTTAGGCTATCGAGAGTACTTTTAGATATCTAGAAAAGCATTCTAGGCAGCAGTGAAGAATTTGTACCTGTTTGGTCATCCTTAAGGAACTCAAGTCTTTCAAAATTACAGGGGTTCAGCACTTTTTCATGAAAATTTTAGATGCAATTTAACATATTACGAAAGTGATAAATTTTTTACTCCTCTCTCCATCACATTTTTCAGTCACAAACTTTTAGGTTTTCTTTCTTTCTACGAAAAATAACATACCGGTACCCTGGGGAGTGAAATGTGAACATCAAACTTCACGTAACTGTAAAGAATTTATTAAATAAGCTTTGAAAATAGACCTTTCCCACATTCCTGTAACAAAGGCATCAAGTTGAGGCTGGGGTGAACAAAATACAGTGATTTTAAAGAAATTGTCCACCCAAGCCTCCAGCTCATCTCTTATGTTTGCTCAGTGGAGTGGAATGCGGGAAAGGTCTATCGCACATGAGTGGAATGGTCATCTAGAAATTTTAATTCATCCTCAAGTAATGTAAAAATATAGGTAATATTAACTTCTGCAAACAGCTATTTAACAGAAAACAATTGTTGGCTGCTCCCTTTTTGATGGTATCAAAGAATTCTTCTTCTTTCACCTTACATTTCAGTGATCAGTGGCATTTTCTTTGGAGGTTTTGTTCCTCCCCAAGTTTTTTCCAGCCTTTCAGTTTCTTCCTTATGTTGTTTACAGCTCTCTGTTACCTCTGCATGTAAAACTTGTACACTTGAGACAACAGATTGCAAAACAGTGGTGTTGGAATGAATCCATGCTAGTAAAAATTCAGTCTTTTTCTTGGCAAGCCACAAGGATCTGCATAGGTTTGTGTCCTTCTGTTTCATATTTATATCCAACTTTACTTTTTCTCTTACTCTACTAAGAAATCTGCTCAAATCAGAGAGAGCACAATCTGTAAAATTTGCTCTCTGAGCTACATCATGTCCCTGAATCAGGTTTATCACATCAAGAAGTGCACAGTGAGACAACCCTTCTGAATACAATTCCTTAGAATTCTGCACAACACTGAGTGAGTTATAGACTACAGATTCTATACTCTCAAAGACTGCATTTTGAGACAAAACTGCAGAAAGCTGCATTAAACTCTCTGCTGCTTGATATGATGTGTCATCTGGGCATCCATTGTAAAGCCTCATTATGTAAGCATATGAGAACAGAACATCAATGCAACTAAACAGAATGTTTGGATTTGGTTTTGTCTGTTTCATCAGTGAACTTAAAGATGGTATGTTCCTTTTCACAGATGGAATCTGCTGACCTTTAACTTCTTTTGCCTCCACAGGGTTACTGTTGCTTTCCTTAGAAACACTATGATCTTCACTTAAATCCTCAATTTTTTTCCTATAAAAGTATTATTATATATCTATTAGTAACAAACAACAACCTTTAATTAACTTCTTGGACAATAAATTATTAGCAGTAGCCAAAAATTCCTCATAGTGTGTTGCTTGGCTACTGAAAAGAGCCAGTTGAAATAATCCAACTGATCTTGCAATCTCAATAATTCAATATTTTTTTCCCGTAGCTTCACTACAAGCAGCCCCAGATCTAAACCACTCTTAGCTTTAGAATTGAATTTTATAGGAGTAGCAAAAATAATTTTCTAAATAATGTTTTCTGCAATGACTTAAAATAAAGATTTGTATTTGTTACTGTCATTTGTATTTGTTTCTGAAACACTTCAAAGTACAGATCAACATTAAAACTTGCCAAGAAAGCTTTGAAACCTGTCAGTAAAGCATCCATTCTTAACTCTTGCATCGGATTCCCATTATGCAATAATTGTTATATCTGTCAGACCTTGACAAGCAGTAAGCATATATACAATGATTGCAAAGCCAATGAAAGAAAACAGCTTTTTACAATAACTGAAGGATTTCTCACACACTGGTTGGCTTTAAAGCTATAGGTAAAAAGAGTACAGACCATGGAAATGATGGCACTTATTTGTTTGTCTCTTTTTTACGTGCGCAATATTTTGAAAAACTTCAACGGAAAAGGATGTCAAAAACAAGTTAGGACACGGCACAAGAAAAGAAAAATAGAAAAAAAAATTAAAAAGCGGTAATATGAAAAAAATAACCAAAAGCTAACTGGATAAATGAGTGTTGAACCCTAAAAAGCACTTTACCCTAATCTTTAAAAAAAAATTTAACCTAAACAGTGCTTAACTCTAATCTGTAAAGCAAGTGTTTCACCCTAGTCAGTAAAATGAGCATTTAACTCTAATCAATGAAAGTCGACCAATATTGGGCAATTCTGCAAATATTTCAGCAGCAAAACCTCACACATCTAGAGGGAACTAAGCAGGAAACATTTTTCATGCATTTTATTCCATGGCTCGCTAGGACACAGATTGTCCAGCCCCTTAAAAATTGTCAATGTTATGGCAAAAAACAAATTGACAACAATTTTCCATGGTGTTTATGTGACAGATCAAATTTGATTTCAGGTTAATTTTGATTTAACCTAGGTTGATTCTCAGTTTCCTTTGTTTCCTAGGAAATTGACAATCAACCTATGATGTCAAAATGTACAAAACTTTGCACTGAAAACTTTGATCATTTTGATGTCTCTTCTAAGGCCGATAAGAATACAGACTGTGGAAAATTGCTGCTGATTTGATAAATATAATAATTAAGGGTGATGACTGAGCACTTTTACCCTATTGCAATGGGGAAGGGGGAAAATTGTGGAAAACGACCACATTTTCCCTCTACCCCTCCCCTGTAAAAAAAAAATGACAGGTGAAAGTTTCAAAGCTAACCTGTTTTGAGTATCATATCTTGGAGTCCACCATGGTACCCAAATGTCAATCATTTCGTAAATTTGTCCAGTTTCCACGGCCGCTTCGAATTGCTTTTGCTCCTTCTCGTTCATGGCCGACCAAATAACTTCAGCATCAGTCGTGTTGAGGTCGATCTCGCCCAATCGTTCCTCCAAATCGTCAGTGACAAAATCACCGTTCGCTTCCCTGTCTTCTTCCTCTAGTTTCCTTAACATTTCAAGCATTTTTTGTTTACTTTCTCTGCTTGCTTCTTGTTCACTCAACGTTGTTATGACGCACTCTTTGTAAAACAGTTCAGAGCATTGCCGGTGTTTTTGGCTCTTATAACAGGTGCTGGAACAATAACGAGCATTACAACGAGGGCAAGTGTACTTGGAAATATTCTGTGAGCAAAACTCACAACGAGACTGGCACTGATGTGATGAAAGGACGCTCTCCAAAACTACCTGAATGCCGTCCGCCATCTTGGTTTATTCTCTAACCCAGTCCATCCGGCTCAAATTCGCGCAGAATTCTGGGAAAGGTGCATTTTGTGCACACACATGACCGACCAAAAATTCTGAAAGTGGTAGGTTGTTCAGGTGGTGTTTGTTGTGCAAAAGAAAATGATTGATTCCTACTTTACTGCAGCAAGATCTAAAGGTGTAAAACGAAAGCAAGATGTGGAAGAAAGCAAGTGTAATCAGAATCACAAAGTTGCCTTAATGGATGGGACATGTGATGTGGCTAGTGGCTCAAATCAAACTTCTGTAAATTCAAAATTGTCTTTTCTTCAAATGAATAGAAAAGAGAGTCTTCACTGGAAAAGGATAGCAGCTGAAAACCTAAACCTTGATTACATTCAGCTCTTCTCTAAATCCGAGGCTGATGCCCTCTTCCAAGAAGCAGAAAAAGTGATAAAGTACAATGCTAACAGCAAGGTGTTTGTTTATGGGAAGTGGCACAAGATTCCGAGAAAGCAAACTGCTTATGGAGATGCAGGTCTAAATTATACATTTTCTGGCACAACAGTTCCTGCGCAACCATGGAACAATGCGCCTTTCCTTAAAGATATCAGTGATTTAATATCCTCTTTAACAAATCATAAGTTTAACTTTGTCCTTGTGAACAGATATAATGACGGCAGTGACCACATGGGCGAACACAGGGATGACGAGGTTGATTTGGTGTCCAAAAGTGCCATAGCATCCGTCTCTTTAGGTCAGCATAGGGACTTTGTATTTCGACATAAGGACGCCAGAGGAAAAGATGCTAAAAGAAAGATTGATCCTGTTAAGCTTGAACTATCACACGGAAGTCTGCTAATGATGAATCACCCAACTAATGTGTATTGGTTCCATTCTCTCCCTGTGCGGAAGAAAGCAATGTGTCCAAGGATAAATTTGACTTTTAGGGAAATGGTTGTTAAACACAAAGCTAGTGCCTAGTGTAACTAAGTTAAGAGGCGAGTGACGCTCCTTTTCACCCCCTGTAGGGTAGTGTTTGGTAACATTCAGGACTTGCAAAGATGCTGAACAAGACTTTTGTTTGAAAGTCTGATATGCCAAAGCAAAAAGTTGAAAACCCTAACACAGAGAGAAACACAGACACAAATCTTTACTTTATTGACATTAAAAAGAGACAGAGATTTTACTATCAGACTAAAAGTTTCCGAGACCCATTGCTTTCTAGATTTCCCCCTTACCACCTGGGCTCTATGTTATTTGTTTTCATTTTTTTCCAGCCATACCTCTAAACTGAATGGCCAAACTGACATGCACATCTTATTTAAGTGTTGTGCCTCCGCTTCTGGTTTTAGGCACAACTTTGATCGACAGTTAAATGAACGCCTGTTTTAAGTCTTTCGCGTTAAGAACAGTTAAGATTTCTGCGTTTTATCGTGTCAATTTAGTGTTCGCATTTAACAGTCGACGCCTCAACAATCGTGAATGTTGCTGTTATCATAACAAGAACTCCCCATTTGAAGTGTCAGTAAGGAAAGCTTGAAGTGTATTTTCTCTCACTATACAAACTTATAAAGTGTCCTACCCAACCAATCTTTGTTTCTATTTTAAATTGTAGGAGCTTTTGTTTGGGTGTAGACCATTAAAATCTGTTTGCACTTAGATTGGATACCAGTAGAAAGGAAAGGCTCTTTCAGTCATATGTGTATTATGAACATTCTTTTGTTTGGATGTGGGAGGGTACATACTGCCCCTGCCACAACCCTCCTAATACGTATACCTATAACTGGTTGTATTTCAATCAAAAAGGAAAAGAAATCAGGTATAATGGTATATAGTAATAATGGTAGTCATGAATTCAACTCCAAAAATACCACTGGTACTCCCTCAAGACCTAGGACATGTAACTTGCCTCATCCCCCGCCGCAGACAGAACCCTAAGCACAGATCATTTCTGTCTTTTATAGTTGCATATATATAATTGAAAAGTGTGATAATGAAAAGCCATCAATTGCGAACTGTATGTGTCTTTGGTTACAAACAGACCAAACTCAGCTCCTCTTTCACTTTCCCTTGGACCAACCTTGTTCCCAGGGTTCTCTCTCTTGCTTTGAGAAAGATCAAACCCTGGTCATGTGGAAATGAGTGTTAATAAATTACGCAGCAAGGGCAGGTCCCCCACTACATTTTGTTGACTGGACTATGAAATACTGTCTGGGGCAGGGAGAAAATTCTTTCCTCAAAACAGTGCTTGAGTTTCTGAGTTGGCTTCAAAGTGTGTTGCTTTCGGCTAGTTTCTATAGCATTATTTTGAAGGAAAATAGGTTACTTGTTTAGAGAGTTTGTACTTGAAAAAAGATTTGCTTGCTGTTCTGCCAACAGGATATGGAAAATCTTACATAACTCGCATGTGCAGAATCCGCTTTTTGTTAATTTGCATACTCTGCACATGCAGTTCATGACAAGGAAGTGATAATGCACCACCCAGGCGGCAGTTTAAAGATTATTATGTTATTTCAGGAGCCTATAACCCAGGGCGAGCAACTCCCATACTAGGCCTATGTCACAGCATTTTTACTGGCCAGTTTATGTTTAGACACATTTTAGGGCAATTTTTCCCACGAAAATGAATCTCTGCCATGTCTATGAACGCATTCGAAGTGTAAGATATCAAAAAGGAAAACGTAGCGTCATTAAAAGGCAAAAATTATAATTTTTAGGTCTGTATGTTTTACTGACTGAATTGTGGGACTTAAAAGATATTTTAAATTTGTGCCAAAATTTTATTGTTCTAAAAATAAACTGGGCCGTGAAAACGCCTTGACACAAGTACATGGAAGTTGCTTGCTCCAGGTTAGGGGCTCCTGGTTATTTTTTGCTTCAGTAGCCTGTGTGCAAAACCCCCCTCTCCTCACGAAAAGTCAATTTTCCCGAGAGAAGGGGTCTATACTCAGGTAATGCTTCGGCTGGTCCATGATATACCAAGTGGATACCAACCTTGTTCTCAGTGTTGCTCTCTCTTGCATTATGCCATACTGCTTTTGGGTGTTGTTGACATTTTCAAATACCTCTGCCATCCGCTGATAATGAACAAGGTGGCAAACTCCCGATCCTCTTGGGCCCTGACAGAAACGTTTTGTCATAGCGACAATTTACCCTTCTTCCCCTCTCTTGTTTTTGGCTCCCAGATTTTGGGAGCCACGTGACCACCAGGGCCTGGGTCGAGAAAAGATAGAACCCTGGGAACGAGGTTGAGAATAGACTGACGTAATTATGTGACGTCATAAGACAGGGTCTCTCAGGTAGTGACCAGTCCTGCTCGGCTAACCCCATTTTGGAACAACAATGGCAGAAGCTCCAGGGGGATACTCGCTGCGAGAAGTTGAGATGAATACTGACGATAGATATGGCTTTAAGAGAGAATATAGGAAACAGAAGTAAGAATTTGTTGTTTATATTGCATTCTGTGTGACTATCCAATAGATCATTAGTTTGCTCTATGGACCTTTTTCGACAGCACGCACGTCTTCCTCGAAGGTCACCTGAGCGGAGCGATTTTTACGATCATGGAAGCTCTAAACCATCGGAGATTTATTACCACATATCGAGGAATTTCCCAAACCATGGTTAAAGTGAAAGAAATCTGTGTATGGCTTTTAAAAGGAAATCTAAGTGTTCCATTTATATAACATGTGGTGCAAACACACACGCTTATTCCTTTTTTATGCGTACAAGCTGCATTTGTCTGGGGCAGTGACTTCTCTAAAGGACGATAATTCCCTTCCAAAGGGCACTGTTGCAATGTCTTTTGTGACTTGCAGAGTAATGAACCACCGCTTTGAAATTTTTGGGCAGATGTGCTCCAGAAATGTGTTGTAAGTTTTTAGCAAATCATGAATGAAATCACAGTTGTGGATTGCGACTGTGCATTTTTAAAACGGAAGAATGCCGACGTAAGAAGTGTAATCGAATTCTTTAACAATAGGAAGTATTTTGACTGTTAGTTGATAGGGGTCTGATAGGTATCTACATCTCTGACTTTCGTTTTTAAAATAGTAAGTGAATTCTAATTATGATGGTAAACACATCCTAACTTAAAGTACTTACTACATTTTTAGCTTAAGTGAACTACTGTTAAGTAATGTAAGATCATTATAAGCTTACATGAATTCATAACATTTCAGGCTTAATTTTAGAGACATGGAAGTTGGAACAGAAGATAACAAGGAAAGCAAAAGAGGAAAAACAGTGAGTTGAAGTGACAAATATAGACAAGAAAAAAATCCCAGAGTCTGTCCCTACTGTCATTTAAAGTTATAAAGGCAAAAATTAAAGCTAATAAAAAGCAGTTAGAGATTTGGGATTAAGCAGAAACAATCACCCATCGATCCCCTACAGTAAAACAATTAGTTTTCAAATGTTGGGAATGATTGTCAATCCTCACAGGAATAAAGGGATGTGTCAGGAACATAGAAACTCCAGATTCTCCCATTTGTTTCCCTGACCACATGATTCCAGATGATCAGGGATATAATAATATTGATTTCAAGGCTTTGTTAAAGCTGGCCTAATCTGGATGGTCAGGGAAACAGCAATATTGCTGATCATTTGAAATCTTCCCTACAAATGGAAACCAGGAGTGCTTACCATTTACGTGGGAAAACCAGAAATTTCGTTGGAATTGCAAATGGTTCGCTTCATTTCATTTGGGAAAACTTTTGAAAATATGGGCTGTGTTTTAATGTGATGAAATTTTTCAACCCTTTTTAGTCAGTGTTCAGCTGATCTCGATATACTTTGTAGCAAGTCATTCTCCCTCCACATCAAATTTTATAGTTTTATGTTTATGCACAAAATTTCCACATGGGTAGTTTTTAGAAATGGTAAGCACCTCAGGCTTTAAATGAGTACCATTAATAGAAAACTAAGGTGAAGGTTGATCAAATTTGCCTATTTACAAGTTACCTTTAACTTAAAGAAATGTTCCTGCCAAGAAACACAGCAGCTGCAAATTAACCAGTTGAATTTTGCTGCTTGCACCTTTATTAGTTTGTTCAAAACTGCAGCTTGTATGGATTGTGTTCAACTGTGAGAAATTGTGGAAACTTATAGTAGCTCTGTTTTGAATTTATTTCTTAAATGTTTAAAAAATTTGATTAGTGTCATATTATTTTTAGAACAAAGGTTAACCTAATCCCTCATCTTCTTAACTATTTTATAGTCCAAAATTAATAATGACCTCTTCTCATTCCATTAAATTAGTTTTTAATGGTATTATTATTCATCTTCATTTTAGTCTGAAGAACAAAACAATCCATTCAACATGACTGCAAAGAACTTTCCAAAAAGAAGGTATGTTTTTTATTCTTAATATTGTTATGTCCAGGGCCCTATTAAAAAATCAGGATTATATTAATTTTTCTGTTCCATTTTGAATAATACTGTATTTAAAAGCTAACAGATTCATTTTATCAAATGTTTCTGGCAGGAAAATTAGAAAGGCAAGGAAATATGTTTATTCTACTGTACTTTGTTTTATTGCAGAAGCCGAATGCATCCTTCTGTGGCCTCCTACAATCGCACCAGGTACAACTGTGTTTTAAATACCTGCCAACAACATTTTTTAGATTAAAGGCATGAGGTTTTTTGGAGAGTACTACAGTGTAGGATTATTTGCAGAGGACCCAATCACAGGGTTGGCACAGTCTTGAAAAGTCCTTGAATTTTAAGAGAAGTCCTTGAATTCCATTTTTCCTTCAAAACTCCTTAAATTTCTGTGCAAGTCCTTGAAATGTCCTTGAATTTTCAACTTTACATGTAGTGACCTGCAAAGTGTTTTTTGATGCTCTTTGGTTGTCCAAGACAGAATATAAATCATAGCTCGGACGATTTAAAGGTTATTTACATAACATGCTCGATGTTTTATGCAATAATTAACTATCAATTTAAGACAAGTTAACTGAAAAATGTAGAGAAGTTGGTGAAGCAAGCAGTTCAAACCTTAAAGCCTTATAAGAATAGACTGGGAATGTGCATTTATGTACAATCTGTGAAATTGTATTCCTAGTAGGTGGTCCTTAAAAATCTAATGTGGCCACTGAAAAGTCCTTGAAAAATAGTTGCATTTTTTTGTATGAACCCTGAATCATATCTGAAGGTACAACCTAAGAAGTTTCATTGGATTCCTTTCTATTATTGAAATGAAACTGAGATCAGGGTTCTCTGAAAGCTCTTGTGATTGGCAAAAGTCTTCGTCCTCTCATTACTGAATAATAATAATAATAATAATTTATTACTAAAACTATCCAGTCCATATCTAATAAATAAACTAAAAATTACACAGAGTCAAAAATGTAAAATTCTAAAAAAATAACAAGCATACGCTTTCCTAAAAAGATGAGTTTTCACTAAGGACTTAAAAACGTCCATTGTCTTAGCATTTCTAATGTCATTTGGGAGACCGTTCCACAGTCCCGGAGACGCAACTTGAAATGCTCTGTCTCCCAATGTCTTTTTTGTTTTTGTAGCATTATAAGGTTGTAGTAGTAGCTGTGACGATGATCTTAAATCTGAAGCATTGGCTACTACTACTGATCTGAAGCATTGGCTACTCACAATAGAGAGAGATAATGAATCTTTTTTTCCACCCTAGTCAAGTTTGGAAGACATTGTAATCAAGTGGCTTACATTATTATTATTTGCTATTCACAGGGGAAGCACAGTTAGTGCTAATAAAGCTCTAGAACTTGTTCGAGCAGCCTTGCAACCATCGCTCAATGCGGAAATTGAGTCTGTTTTGAAGAGCTACCAGGAGGTTTGTTTAACCAATGCAGCTGATGTTAATAGAGAAATAAGAAGACAGCCAATAATGTCACAACTTAAATGACCAATCAGGTCAATATCCAGAGTTGAATACTGATATGGTACACTTAGATTGACTTAGACGACTCCAGGACAGATTGTCAAAACATCATTTGTTATCAACAACAGTCATATTCAGGATTACACTCACCCAGATGATCATATTCCACCTTCTTATGAAGTAGTACCTAGGTTCAAGCCATTCAAAGTTGATAGATTGTTTCTTAATTTGCCAGATGTTTCGCATGGCTGCACGTAACATCAAAGACAACACAAGTGAACCTGTCTCAGAGGAACAGATAAAAGCTGTGTTAAGACGCAGCCTTGATGAGGTACTAACACTCTTAGTAAAACTTTTGGTACCTATTCTAGTGTAGCCCTGGTGACATTGAGTCATTTTTGAACTGGAGTGTTCAGAGGTCAGGCTGAAGCATACAAACTTATAAAAGCAATTACAGTCCTGACTTATTGTCTTGCACAACTCCTCATCACCTCAACCCTCTCACTAGATGCAGAACTGGCCAAAGTCAAAACTGGACAGATATCCAAATATTTACTTCTTAAATGCCCCCTAAAATTAGTACCATTATGGCACTGTAACAATACTGCCAAAGACATTTCATCAGATAGGGGATTTTAGAACCAGCTGAACCCTTTAAGCCCTAATACTCACATGCAAATTCTCCAAACTGATCTCCATACAGTTCCTTTAAGAATTAGTTGAGAGAATTTGATAAAAGATCATGGCATTTTCTCTTTGGTGATCATTTTATTAATTCTCTTTACTTTATCTCTTGACAATGTATGGATATTGTCAGGAGAAAATAATGTTGTTGGTCACCATTGGGACTTAAAGGACTCCATCATTCACTTCGGGAGTGAAATGTCCTATTCCAGGCTACAATATTGTAGTGCTGTTGTGCAGTAAAAGGTGATGCGAAAAATGCACATGGGGGCTGGGGAGAGAGAGGGCAGCATGTCTTATTTTTGCTTGCATATGATATACAAGGGGTAAGTGCTTTGATCTTTCATCATACTCTTTTTAAAAACTTTTTTTTTTTTTGGAGAATTTGTATGTTGGTGTCGTGGATTAAAGGGTGAACACCTGTGTAAGCCACAGTGTATCATGAATGTTTTAATGTCTGACTTCAGCAGTTACATTTTACGTCTTATTATGCAAATTTAAGTATATTTATCCTTGGCTTTACCCTGATTTATATGATGCTGTATTAGCAATGTTGTAGCCTGCATCGCAGACATAACCTTATCCTGATTAATAACATCTGTGAAGCAGCCCTGCTGATATCCTTGTTCTGGGACCCTAGTGGACTCAACGAATTATTACCCGAAGTGCATTTTGAATTTCCCTTCATGTTGACTGGCAAAAGGACAAGGACATTTTTAACAGGCCAATTATAGCGCATACTCAAATCCTGGTACACTGGTGGGAGCCCAAAACAAGGATTTCGGCACTGTTTGGCATACTAACTTAACCAGAGTTTAGTCTCATCTGCGGTGCAGGCTAGCAATATTGCAACTTGTCTACTTTTTTCAATTTAGTACCATTGGCAACCACTAAGTTAGATACATGTTACTAACTACAATGCCACACTTAACTACAAGGAATTTAAAGAAAACCTGACTTTGAATTAAACTAGCTAATAGCCCTTATGCATGATTACATCAGACAAGCAAATTTCACCATCAAACCTCACTTTTAAGCAAAATTCTTTGCATTTTTTTTGCACTATTTATTTTGTGCATGGATATTCTTTTCAACTCTAAAAGACATGGAAATTCATTTATGCAAAACTCTGTTGCTTTACACTATTTCAAAATGAGGCTTAGTGGTGCAATTTGCTTACTGACCTCGGGGGGGGGGGGTTGGGTTTACTTGGGTATTTTTTTAGGTGGGTATGTGCCGCCTGGAACTCCAAATTGGCACCCCGTTTTAAAAAAATTTCCCCCAAAACTGATACGCCGTTCTAGAAATGGGCCAATTTTTTATGCTCCGTTTTAGGGTGCAACAAGAGTACAACAGTTCACTTGTTAACCCATTGAACCGTATTTTAAAAGCGATCTGTCCTTGATTTCAAATGGCTGCTTACAAGACTGGAGCTTTCGTGAATTTGAAATATTATACCCCGTTCTAGAAAACGCCTCTGAAATGGATACCTCGTTGTAAATCAGGAGCTTCAAAATCACGACCCTGTTGGGCGGCACATACCCGTATAGGTAATGTATGGGAGTACCTACCATTAGAGCTATTAAAATAATGAAATCCCTCTGTTCAACAGGCTAAGGTCTTGTTCAGAATGGACAACAAAATTCACCCAGACAGCAGGGTAAGAAAATATCTATTGCTATTAGTTTACAGAAACAAAAAATGAATGGAAATAGAGGAATTTGATTGGTTTATTATTTTAATGGATACAAGCCTATTTGGCTTTTGGTTCCAGGTTAAGCGAACACTCAGGTGAAAAAACTTCATGCGCGAGAACTTTCTAGAAATCAAGCAATACTTCGCTTTGACGTCATACGGCAACACAATTGGCCAATCGAACAATGCCTTCTCCACATTAGGGTTTTCTTTGGCATGAAAACAAAGAGTCCATGTTTTGATCTTTTCATCCATTGGCTGATAAAACAAATAATGAACACTTACCGAAACCATTTTTCAAGATCATACGAAAATCGCTCTAACAACAATTGCACTGAGTGTGTGAGTTTCTTGACATTTAAAAAGCTCTATGATCTCTAGATCATATTGTACCCCTGGGTGATGTTAAAAGAAAATTGAACCACAACATATCTTCTGGTTTTTTGAAGGAATGTCTTAAGTTTTTCTGTTTCTTACTATATATTTGTTTCGAACTCATTATTATTAAAGTGAAAGTTTATTACCTAAATCCAAGGATAAAGTTGAACCACAACAAATATATTGTACAGTTTGTGAGCACACCCTGATTGATTTCTCTTCAATATTATCAAGCAACTGCCCATCAGGCAGTCATGATGTTACTCACTCTAGAGCTTTATATAGCCACTTCACTTCTTAACAGAAATTTCAGTTGATAGAACTACAATCTATCGTAGCAGTGGTTGCTGCCGGGCATTCATATTGTGGTTGCTTCTGCTGATTACTAAGGGCCTGTTTACACTGAGGCAGGGAGCCCTGGTAGGTGAGGTAACCTTCCTGTCCATATAATGGCTCGTATAGTCACCCCACCCTACCATGTAAATGTGATCAAATTAACATGAGTTTATATGGACAGGCAGGTTATCCCACTTAAGCAGGTTACCTCACCTGCCTAGCGTTCCCCACGTCAATGAAGACAGGCCTATGAGTTGTTTCTATGAAATCGCTATGCATGCTGAACTTTTTTCAACTTTCCTAATGATCACAACAACCAATAAGCATCAGTCATGAAGAAACCACATGTATTTATTACTGTATTAGTGCAGCATATTAGCCAATCAATAACTGAAGATGTAGATATAATTTTTCAGTGCTTCTTGTTAAAGAAAGATTTAATTTTTTTTATAGATGAGATATGAAAGGGGAGGAAGCCCAGCAGTTGTGAAAAAGGTTTGTGCATTATTCTTAAAACTGAGGTCATGGAATTAGCTTTTCCTATACACCTGATGCACTTGTCTTGCAACTTTTTTTTTTTTAATTTTGCAGAAGAGATCGCGACCTGATCCAGACAAAGAAAGGTATTGACTCAAAGTGTAATTTGACTATTATGAAATAAGTTTCTGTCGATTAGTGTTGAAATGTACTGTACGAGTATATGACAATATTATTGTTGCACCAATCGTACAATACTGCACGTAGTCATAGCAATAAAAGTGTTAGTGTAGCGGTATGAGAAGGTTGCACAAACTGCCACTTACTCCTAACTCTTACTCCTCACAGAATTACAAGAAAACTTTCTGTTAAGTCTATCACTATCGTGGTTTAAGGTGAATAGAAGTTACATTGAGTTCCCGCCTATTTTTTTATTGCTTTTAGTGATGAGTCATCACCAGCCAAGTCAAACAAATTGGAATCCAGAGCAATCACCTTTGATGTAAGTTTAGCTTATTGTCTCTGTCATGAAATAAGAGGTACACTGCACATTCTGCAACAACGTTACTGTTGATAGACCTATAATTTAAGTAATGGGTTTTAACGTAATAGAAATCCCATCCTGGTTGTACCTAAATGCCAAATAGACTAACTTCTTTGTAATTTTAAACATCAGCGTGCTCACAACCCAGTTCACTATGAATGCTCAACCAATTTTTTTTACATTGATGTCTTTGAATACCAGTAGTATTTTTAGGAAAAATTCATAGTTTTATTCTGTGTTTCATTTTAATTGCCTTCCTTCCTTTCCTTCTTTTAACCTTTACATATTATATTGTTTGATTTCATTAAGTGAAGCCAATAGTAGTACCGTAAAATTCCGAAAATAAGCCCCTCCAAATATAAGCCCCCCAAACCGGTAGGGGCGATTTAACAGAGGGTTTTTTGCGTTCCAAATATAAGCCCCCCGGGGGCTTGTACCTGGAAAATTGCCCTCAAATACAAAGTAAAACAAAGCAAAAACGGTAAATTTACTTCCAACTAAAAGGCTAGCCCAATCGATTTTGAAACGCAAATTTCCGTCCTTAGATAAGCCCCTCCGAATATAAGCCCCTCCAAAAATAAGCCCCTCAAAAAGGGCCTTTGAAAAATATAAGCCCTGGGGCTTATTTTCGGAATTTTACGGTATTCTAGCACATAAATTTTCTAATGCGTAAATTTTTGTCTGACAAATTATATTCCTGTGATTTTGTTGTTATTTTTCAGTGGAAGCCTGATGAACTTAATGAGAATACAGAGTTTGTGATGGGTGTAAAAGCAAACAAGTATGTTGCATAGTTATACATTAACATCAAAATATAGGGAACTATTGAAGAGCCTTTGTTACTCAATGATGTGTAATGGAAGAGTGGTTAACCTTTTAAGTCCAAAGAATGACCAACATCAATGTTCTCCTTACATCAATACTAAAGTGAAATGAAAAAGTTACAAGAATTGTGAAAAGAAAAACCAGCTTTGATCTCTTATCCAATTCTTTCGATGAATTCTATAAAGAAATGTATGGAGAACAGTTTGGAGAATTTGTATCTGGGTATTGGGGCTTCAAAAGTTAACACCTTGACCTTCAGACCTGTACAAGAACGCTGTCATTGCTTTCTTTTCTTAGACAAGAAGCTTTGCTCCAGTCTCTTTCGTTTTCCTCAGGAGTTTAAATGGGTTGATGGGTGATGTACAGTACATGTACTGTTAGAGGGTTAACCCGGTGATTGACCAGCATCCCAGTCAGGTGCAGGTCAGGTGGTAGAAGCAATACTCCTAGTTGCTTCGTTTAGGCTCTGTTTTTTTTTTTTACCTCCTTGGTTTATGCGTACGTTTTAGGATCTTTTATTTTTTATTACCAAAAAAGTACTATTTGTTGTAGTAAGTTGTATTGTAAAAGTTACACAATTTTTTCCATCATCATTACCAGTAATTTTTTTTAAAAACTGACTTTGTTGGTTCTTCCTCTGAGAGAAACACTGTTATCTTACAGTACTTATTTTGTTCTATTTCCGATAAATTAAGGGCCCTTGGGATGGCTGCAACTAGGGGAAAGATTTATTACAGGCATCCAGAGCTGTTTAAGGTAAAATTGATTTTTAAAAATTTCACGTGAAACATTTTTACTTTTTGTCATTTTTTTTGGGTAAGCCAGTAATTCAGGAACAAAGCTGAAGTGAGGGTAAATGATAAGAGAAATAATAGTTGGCCCATGGCAAGTCAAGTTTGCCTGTCAGTGGGCTTAGGCCATTGATTTTTCTTGACCTTTAAAAAAATGAGTCTTTGTTTCTTCACTGGAAACATTTCTTAACAACACCATCTGCTTACTTCGAAAAGTAACATTAGCCCCGCCCTGTTGTTAGTTGAAGACTTAGGTAAAGAGCTTGGATTAAGCACAGAAAATCTTGGGTTAAGTCACCATCACTGGTTAAGTCACTGTTAACAACAGTCATATTCAGGACTACGTTTACGCGGAGAATTATTCTCATCCTACTTACACGAGATACTGTTGAACATTACATGAGAAAGAAATAATAATATGATTTTCACTTGAAAAGAAAATCGCATAATACAACGTAAGTTTGTTGGCTTCTCTTTTAAGTACTCTGGTGATTCTGATGACAAGCTGTGGCTTTATGAACAAAATGAACTTCCCATCACAGGAGGAAAGGTGTGTTGCTTCAAGTTACTAGAATATGCAGTGTGGTATGGTTCAGTTTGAATGTTAGGAAACAATGATTTTGTAGTGAAGCCGTGCAACATTAAATAAATCAATGAGATACATAGGCACTTTATGGTGTAGCGTTAATGAAAGTTTATCATAGTACTTTTTACCAGTACCCTCTTTTAACAGACACCCATTAAAGTTTGACCCTCCTATTAATGCCTATGTGTAGTAGTAACATTTTGAAGTTATCATCGTCAAAGTTGTTTTTTTTTTGTCATAAAGGCACCTAAGAAAGTATGATAAAGTTTCTTGTGTTGGCAAAAAAAAAATACAGGAACAACAACAACAACAACAAACAAGCGAGAGTGATGCAGAAACATGAAGCCTATGTACTAGTAAGATATAAACTCTATTTATTTTTGTAGGCTTTTCTTATGATAGCTGATGACATCAGAAAGCTGGCAAATCATGAAGACTACAGGTCAGTAATAAGCATTAAGATTTCAAGATTTTATCTCAAGTTGTCTTTCACACTGAAGTTAGTTTGAAATGTCAGTCATCTCCAACCCTAACACACTTGCTATTATTATGGTAGTGGTATTTGAGAATAGAGTGAAAAAAGAATGAAAAAGATGCAATGTTGGTTTCATGCATTTGGTTGGAAAAAAATGTCTTCAAAGTCAACATTTAAGGGGAATTCAAAGAAAGAATTTGCAAGCATTTCAACAATTACTTCTGGGAATGTCTTGTTTTAACAGGGACGGCCCTTCCGTTTGTCTGGGGATTTTTTTTGGTTATTTATTTTGAAAGAGCTAGTTCTTCTAAAATCTATTATCACAGTGTTTCAGGGCCTTGCCATTATCTCTGGACACTAGTACTCCAAAATTCTGTAACCAGTATCACATATCAGTTTTAGTCGGGGGATGGGGAGGCAAGTTAAGTTGGTATTCCCTAGGCATAAACCCTCCTTCAGAATTTTCTGGATTTGCCCCTGATGCAAGCTCATTCTTGGAGAAAGAAAAAGTGTATGGAAGATTACATTTTTCTTATTAAGTTGTTAATTTCTTTTTAACAGAAATGTTGTAGGTCTTAATCTGGAAGAAATCAAAGGATTTAAAGTTCCACCTAAAATGTTGGAGAAGATCAGAAACCACATGAGAAGTAAGCTATGGCTGCCTCGTAACCTCAACTAGGCTAACCTTTACTAATATCTGACGTCTGTTTGCCTTCTGGTTGCAAATCTTATCTAACTAGAAGTGCTGCTTTGATTCTTTCTCTTTCTTATTTGAGTGATATTAAACAGGAGTAAGAATCTAACCATGCTTTTTGCAAGTAGTAATACAGTCACTGTTTTTCCCAATACGCAAAGAACCCCTAAGTGCATGTTCCAGTATTAAATCTCCAGGGGGCGGGGTACTCAACAAAGTTGTATATGTGGATGCTCCGCCCCAAGGTCCAACGCGTTACTCTTATGTACCACTTTGAGAGGAAAGGTACCCCTTTCGTAAGGCTTGTATTGACAAATGGTACCCTTTTCACAAACCCAGTTTAGAACTTTGCATCCCTTTTAACTGCTGTAAATGCACTGTCTTTTAAATATAAACAGCCATAAAATGTATCTTTTAGCCCTTGGTCCTGTTTTGCTGCCTGAAATGACAGATTTCCGTACCCTTTCATATACTCCAACAAGTGAAATCCCTACCCTTTCATATAGCTGAAGCCTGAAAAAGGTACCCCTTTTGGGTGGAGCCTCACTGTTTAAACCATTATAATGAGTACCCCCCAGAATTAAATCACTTCCCAGGGAGTAGCCAGCTTTTCGACTAGTTGTAGGCCTGGCTGACTTTCATTTCCACATATCCTGAAAATTGTATGTATGACTGGTACGCACTGACCTCACCAACACTTTGAGCTTTTAAGCTTCTAAGCTCACGCTAACAACGCATAATTTATTACAAGCGGTAGAGAGATCAAACCAAAAATTTGTAGGCCTGGGCCTACAGGTCTATGGGCTCGCTACGCCCCTGACTTCTCTAGTCATACCTTTTTTGTATTTCTTTTAGAATTAAAGCGAGAAGCAGAATCTCGATTTGACATCAAAAGTAAGGTTAAAGAAGAACAACCAACTGTAAAAGTGGAACAAAAGGTGGAAGAGGAAAGAAAGCAGACTGAGACAAGGCCTTCTGGCAACTCTAGTGATCAAAACTAATTATTTAAACCATATAATGGTATAGAACCTTATTTGAATTCTGTATAGTGGTTAGCCACAGCATATTCTTAGAAGTAGTTCAAGTATTTGTAGTACTATAAGAACTCGTTGTTGGGGCGAGGGGGCAGGGGCGTGGCCACTAGTACCAAAATTGGGCACGAGGGGTCCTGCTGAGGGGTTAAAACCCTGACCCTGTTTAGGAGAAAAGGCAATCCTGAAATACCAACCCTGCGGAGGATAACTTCCTGTCTGTGTTACAACCCTGTTTAGAGCAATGGATAAGAAACACGTTCAGATGTTCCTGTGGGGAAAATAAAGGACGTTTTTAGGATCAGCTCACGTAGAATTGTATTCTCTTTTTAGAACAGAGAGGCTATAAAACTATACTATGCCCAGTAGCACATCCCTTTATAGACCAAATAAGGGAGTCCCCCCTTCCCCCCCAGGATTGGAAACAAATCGGTCGTAGAGTAATGTACAGCCTTAGGTCCTATTCGCACTACGGCAAAGAATAGAGTTTGATGTCTGCGAAAAATTTGAAAATTTTGTACTCACCAATTTTTTTTTTTTTTGGGACCTTGTTCGCATCAGAGACACGCGAAATTTTTCGTTTTACCAGAAATGCCAATTGAAGTAACTTTAATTGATCATGTGTGCGAAATAAAATGACCCGACGAAGGATAGCTGTCAAAGAACAAAGGAGATTGTCGCCTGACAAAAAAATGTAAGTTCCCAACTCTTCTCGATGGCATCTGTGAACTTTGGTGACAATTGAGAAAATTTTCGACGATGAGGAAAAATTCGTTTGCACTAGAAATGCCTCGCTGTTAACAGAGTTTTTTGCAAAACAAACAAAATTTTGCTTCGTGCGAACAGGGCCACATGTTGGAAGGCTAATTACAGACATATATGTATGAAGTAAATTCCTTTTTTGATGAGACCAAAGTTATTCATTTATGTTATTAATTATTGCACAGATTAGATTATGTCATCACATCACAACAAAATTCAACTAAGGCATGAATTTTAGTGGATGTGGTTATTGCATAAGATTTTTGTTTTTGTTTTTCAGTCTACTTGGGCCATCCCAAATGGTTGTCTGTTTTGTTAGTATTTAACTTTTCAACTCCCCAATATATACGTCGCCCTCGAATAACCGCCGCACCTAAGCAGACAAAACGCGATGTTTATTCGATAATCATAAGAGAAAATCTGGGTACAACTTTGTAATCTACACCATCCAAAAAATTTCTATTTCACATATATTTTACAAATGATTTGCCGTAAATGTTCTCAGTGATTTAAGAAATGTAATTTTAGATCATTTTAGGGTGGAACTTGCCCTTGAATAAACGCTGAAAATTTAATAAATGCGGCATTTAATCGAATAAATGCAACTTGTCTTGCGGCATTCCTGCGAAACGAGTTGAACAGTGATGTTGCGCGTTTTACCAGGTTAACGCGCAACATCGCTATTCAACTCGTTTTGCAGCAATGGTGAGCAATGTTGAAAAACAAGTTGCACGTTTCTGTTGCCCGTTTTTCCGAAGCTTTAGACACCTGGACGGGTTATTTTGAAATTGACTCAAACTTATCAAAGCCGTGCATATTATTTAGGAACGCACTGAACGGGCCTGACTGTCCTGTTTTATAGTGAAATTCTCGTTACGTATGGATCGGTTCGACGCCCTAAGTTTTCTTTCCAAACTTTTTCTTGATTTGTTCAGTAACGTTACTGAAAAAGGCAATGATTATTGCAAGAACTATGGTATCTTACTATGGTATATGGTGTATGGAAACTACCTTTGACGTCTTTGTAACAAATACCCCGGCTTTGTTCTTTATATATTGGTTGTTTACCACTGTACTTTATGTCTTAATGCGATTAAAATTTGTTCTCTGGATTGAAGTATTGTGCAATTTCTGTTTGCATAACTTAGTAAGAAAAAACTGAATTCAACATGATAACTGTCGCTTTAATTGGAGAGGAATTTGAGAACGTACAAAAGTCAAAATATTTGGGCATTTTAAAAGAAAAGTAAATGGTCGCATGCACCCTTGTTCTTGATATTCGCCACGTGCTCTTTTGTTACTAAATTCATTTTGTAACTTTTGTATTTTCTGAAATGTATCCAGGTCTCTACAATCGCTCATATCACTGCGAAAGCGATTCTATTTCTGAATTAGTCTATAAGTTAAACTTGTATTATCGAGACCTGTACTTGGAAAGCGAATTGCACGCCTCCCGCCCGCTCCCCATCTTTGACCTAAAAATCCACGCACGTAGTCAAAGAAGTTCTCGATAATTAAACTTTGTTTCATAAATACAAAAAATACAGATAAAGCATGCAAATTACCGCTGATCGAACTCTTCGGGATGATTTTCATGTCAAAACGTAATTGGACGTGCAAATAGTATACGATAAGATTACGATAAAAACTTCTGAAAATGCGCACACAATGCATCATGTTGGGCAACGTTATACCTAGTCCCAGGCTTCAACTAGGGGAAACTTTCCCCTGACAAAATGCCGCAAGTTTTCTCTTATCACGCACCAACATGGCCGCTAGCTACGCACCTTACACCTTTATCCGCCCCGTTAACAACCAAGGCGCGTTTTACGTTTTACCGCTAGAATGGTGCGCGTGCGAATTGAAGCTCACGTCACTTAACTGGGAAAAACGAACCTGATTGGTTGATTTTTGTGCGCGCGATTTTCTTGTTTTGTTACGTCACAAAGCAAACTTCTGAGTTGAAAAACAAACTTTGAAGTGTTTTTGAGAGAGGCAAAACATTTGCCTAACAAAGGGACAATGGTAAGTGCTGTTAGTTCTCTCCAAGAACATGAAAAATCGAAGGAGAAACTGAAAAGGTGCGCATTGCTGGTTTTCAGTGTCATGCCATTCAAGAGTTTGGAATCTGGGAAATGAAAGGAGGTAAATATACCAAGTTCCTCGCCAAGATTCAGGTCAGAAGAATATTCTTTATACGAGATATGAATTTTAGTTTTCAGCTGCTCTAATACATCATGAAAGAAAAATCCCAGTACGATCGATAGTTTTGTAGTTTGAATTTAAGTGACGTCATGTGAAAACCGATGATTTGCAAGATTCTGTCTTTCTTTTTTTCGCCATCAAACAGAAACTTTTTCTCAGAAAAAGAAAAACTGGAAAGTTATGCTATTAAAGGTCAGTCACACCCTGCAATTTGTGCACGATATACCCCTCTAGTTCTTAAGGTGGCTCGATATAGTTTTTCAAAGTCAATACCTCCCAAGTTTGAGCGTAAACTACGTCGCCATAAACAAAGATTTGGAAAAATTGACACCACAGTTGTATTAGATAAAGACGAAACTTTGTTATGATCAGGGTTGCAATGACATCGGAGTTGTCATGGCAACGAAATGACGCCATTACCTACTTTACTTGCGGCAGTATATCTCGGCACTGGGAACTGTTCTTCCAAAATCGTTTACTAGAGCTTTTTCCTACAATAGTCGCCTCGATGTTAATCTTGGGTGGGATCAGGTAAAGTTTCTGAATGTATCCCCAGGCTGTATCATCTTGCGTTATGTGTTTTAGTAGTCCAGTTCGAGAGAAAACCAACTTTCTATGAGAACTTTGAGCGGAAAAACTAACATCGCGATGGCGAATCTTCTTGAGTGAACTAGAATCATACTATACTGGGTGCAATGTGTCAAATCACAACTCACCAAGTAGAGCAATCAAAGAAAGAATGAGAAGTTTCAGATAATTTACTTACACTTTCAGTATAGTCACACTTAGTCAAAAAAGATACCGTTATAGTAACAATGTAGTATTTATTAAGTGATACATGTGTAATGATGAACTGTTACTCGTAATGCAGGCTTAATACAAGAGAAAAAAGCTACACTGAATAGAGCTGAGCAGCCGCTACAAAACAAGGTTGGCGACTAGAACTGAGGCCAGAAAAAACCTGCCGAAAAAACCCATTGGGAAAAAATATGGCAGGAAATCTGGGTAGGAACCATGGCTCAAGCTTTAAGTGATTTGTAGCCCATCCTACGAGGCTTTGCAAAAGAAAATCAACCGATCTACGATTTATTAAATACTGAAAAAAAATTAAAATAGAAAAATGAGAGACAAGACCAATGGCTATAGTATTGGTTTTAAGAGAACGTTTACGAAGGGCCAACCATTTAATTTTGATGAGGGAGGGGTGGGAGAACTGGCTCTTTTGATATACGTTGATACAAGATTGTTTAACTCTTTGCACTTGTTTTTTCCGGTCCACGTGTGTTTGCACTTGGTTTTTTTTTTCTGAAATCACACATCCCCCTTTTAAAAAAACGGTTGCCCTTTTCAGGGACTTCTTAATGGAAAAGTTTCTTCCTTTGCTCTTACGCAAAAAGAAAGTCTTGGGGCGAATCCGGCGTGTTTTGTACTCAGTCTTCCTCATTACTTGCGATTTGGTTTCGCTGTACTGTTTTAAGTTTTTACTCAGCCTGCCAAATTTTCTTTCAAGTCCGATTTATAAATGTTCTATCTTACATTTGTTACATGCCAAATTCTGTTGCCAGAATAGTTTTACTTGGAGTTTCAATTTTCTTCATACATTAGAAGGTTATTGCTGGCTATTTGTTTGTTAGGGTGAGAGGTGCAAGCATAAGTAAAGAAGAATTACGACACTCCAAGTAAATCCTCTATCCAGGAGCCCACAAACTCTCCTCCTTCTTGTTTGAAACTACAAAAAACACCAGATATTTTAATAACGGAGTAATGTTTGAGTTTCAAGATGGCGCCCTAATTTTTTTAAAGTTGATTAAGCTCCCAAAACAATTTAAACCTTTTAAATTGTGGAGAATTATAAACTTAAAATTGCTAAACTAACTGAATTCTCAAAAGCATAGAATGCTATTTGAAATAATTTTTAGGCCTGTGAGATCTCTGAAAGCAATCACTACCCTCAGGCTCCTGCTACCCGTTATTATGAGTATAGTCCAATATGCACTGTCTAGGTAGTCAAAACCACAGCAAAAGAAGCCAAGGAACTTGTTGGCCAATGGCGAAAAAATGTGAAACTGAACTATGGGACTTAATATACATAACTGACCACGAATGGCAGTTATGAAGTTAGAAAAAATGCCAATTATCTCATTTGAATCCTTCAAAAGCATATTTTAGAGCTCAAGAAAATAATGATTCAGTCAACTTTGGAGCTGGATCAGCAGATCAGGGTGAATCGGGTATGAAATTTCCAGCGAGGGTAAATAAGTATCAAAAGGTGACCCAGGAGGGGAGAGATGAAGGTAGGGCGCCGCTGGTATGGCTTTCATTGCGTTTCTCTGGTTTATACCAAATTTACTTGAAGGGGTGGAGCAGAAAGGTCCTTTTTAAGTATATGGAAAATAAAAGGATCTTGTAGCACCTAGTCCTTCAATTATATGAGCCGCTATGATAGGCTATTTTTTTAGCGCGCGTTTTTATGGAAATCTAATTGCGTTATTCTTCGCAGTATTTAAAAACAATACGTCATGTCTGCTATCTTTTTAATATTATCGGCAGGGGAGGGGTTTTTAATGACCTAATGAATTATAATCGGGATATAGATGGTTTTCTAAGGGAGTAATGATCTCATGTTCGTATAAGGTTTGGTGATATCATTATTTCCTTGAGCATTAGCCAGTTCTGTACTTAAACAGGGGACGGCAACGAGCAACCAATTTAAACCAAAAGTTACAAAAAAAGTAGTCCCTTTGAATTTTGCTCTGATACTGTGGTATGCAGTTCTCAGGCTGTATAATTCGATGCAATAACGTAAAAAATTAGATTGCATGGATATTTGAAGTAGCAGAACCTATTTGTTGGGGTAGCATTGACGAAAGGGAAATTACTTTCACAGATTTCACCTATAATCAAGTAGCTGTATTATAACTTTTTTTATAATAAAAATACAATATATTATTTCTTTAAAGCGAGCACATTGTATAAAAGTAGCTACAAGAGTCCTCTCAAATCGTGGCGGACACGTAGACATTTTACCTTATGCGTAAGGCTAACTAAATAAGGTACATTTGTGTACAAGCTCTCTGGGCTTTTCCCTCAATATAAATATGTTCAATAAATAAAATAATGAAATTTGGCAACCTCCGTGAATTAAAACTGTACAGTTTCTCCCTAACGATAAATATATTCTACCCATAGCATGGACGTCTACTCTACAATAAGTTCATTGTTTTCTCCGGGAGCAAGTGGTATGCCTGTGCACCCTTTCAGCCTTTGTTACTCTTGTCCAGCAGAACAGGTAACGGATCGCTCTCTTGGAACGAGATTAAAGAAAAGGCAAAATTTAATGAAGTCTATGCTATTGAAAAAAACAAGCAACAATAATAAACTAAACTATAAAAACAGAACCAAAACAAAACATAAACAAAACAAAACAAAGACACGAAAAAAAGGGTGTCTATTTTGTATAAGAATACCATCGTGTTACACGTACAGTTCGGTCTTCCTCTAGATTTCAGGAGCCCATAATCAGGAGAGAACAACTTTCTTGCAATCGTGTAACGGTCGCTGACCAGTTTATTTTAAGAACGATCTTGGCGCAAATTTAGAATATCTTTCAGGTCCAACAAACCAGTCAGCAAAAAAACAAAACTACTGATTTGGTATTTTTGTCCTTTTAATAACGTTTAGTTTTTCTTTGTCACATCCTATATTTAAAATCGCTCATAAACGGAGTGGAACTTCCATTTTCGGGGGAAAAAGTGCTCTAAAACCCATTTACAAATACAGCAGCCCATGACATAGGCGTAGCATGGGAGTTGCTCGCTCTAGGTTACGGGGTTCCTGAAATGTACATTATGGGCGCTTACCTTTTACAAGCGCCATGCATACGGCTAAACATCTCGTGCATAAACA